TTTAGACATTTATAAGGGATTTTCGAAAATGGATGTTCGAAATCCCTTTAAATTTATCAAACATCGATTTCACAAATCTTTCAAAGGTTCTCGTATATCTATTTTCGGATACCAATAAGAAATTTTAGAAATAGATGTCCGATAACCTTAAAGAGATTCTGAAAATGAATCTTCAAGAATCATTTATGGATTTTGAACATCTAATTTCAGATATCTTCAAAAACTTCTGAAAATTCATATCCAAAATGTTTGAATCACACCCATTAACTTAAAATTTTAATTCATACGAAATTAAATACGAATTCAAATAAAAAAATGTAAAGAACAAACTATTTACTTTTAATTCTAAGTTTTTTAATGTCAAATGACTGAAATTTCTTTTAAATGTGACTTGATCGGGCTTAATCATTTATGATTTTCTATTGGAAGAGAAAAAGGGGGGGAGATGGGATGTGAGATGTGATGTATGATTTTTTAATAAATTTGTTTTTATCATTTGGGTTCTATTGAGTAAAAATATTAGGTGTGAATAGCCGTGGAGTGTATTGAGAAAAATGTGGGGTGCAATAGCAATACCCATCAAGGAGGCTGGAAATTACAACAATGCCCCTCAAGCCCTTATTCTCTTTCACAAGCAAAATGAATTGGAACCAAACAACGTAACCTTTCCTTTCATTGCAAAAGCTTGTGCCAAGCTTTCCAATCTCAAATATTCCCAAATCCTCCACTACCAAATCTTGAAATCCCCATTTGGAAACGATATTTTCATACAAACAGCAGTGGTGGATATGTATATAAAATGTGATCAAGTGAATATGCATACAAGTATTTGAAAGAATGCCTGAAAGAGATGTGGCCGCTCGGAATGCAGCGCTTTTCGGTTTTGCTCACGTCGGTTTTCTTGATAAAGTGTTAAGTCTTTTTGGTGGGATGAGGTTTGCTGGGATACACCCCATTCGATCACTTTTGTGGGAATTGGTCTGGGAGTTTTAAGTGCAAATAAGTGAAGGGAGTTCATTCGTTTGGGATTCAAATTGGAGTGGCTGCTAATGTCACAGTAGCTAACACTTGGATTGCTGTATATGCCAAATGTGGTGACTTTGGCATCGGCAGAGAAGGTTTTTGATGAGATTGATGTTGTGAGGACTGTCATCTCTTGGAATTCCATGATTGCTGGATATGCAAACTTTGAAAATTTTATTGATGCTTTCAATTTATATTGAAGGATGTTGGTTGATGGAATTAGGCCTGATGCAAGCTCTATTGTCAGCTTGATTGCGTCGTGTGTGCAACCTGAAGAACTATTTCTAGTAATGCTAATTCATTCTCACTTGTGACTTGAACCTATCTCTAACCAATACTCTTATATCCATGTATTCCAAGTGTGGAGATATTAATTCTGCAAGATTGTTTTTTGATTGCATGTCTGATAGGATGTGTTTCATGGACTATTATGATTAGTGGGTATGCTGAGAAAGGGAATATGGATGAGGCAATGAGCTTGTTTTATTCAATGGAAAAAGCTCGTGAGCCTTATTTGGTTACTTCACTTTCTTGGGTTTCAGGTTGTGGCCGGAGAGGATCGCTTGAGCTTGGAAAATGGATTGACAGTTAAGCCAAATCTAAAGGGTTTAAAGATGATGTAATGGTTTGCAATGCACTAGTTGATATGTATTTAGAATGTGGTAGTATATGCGAGGCTCGAGAGGTCTTTCGTGCCATGCCTTAGAGAACTGTTGTTTCTTGGACTACTATGCTCTCTGGTTGTGCTGTGAACGGAGAACGTGAAGAATCTTTGGACCTTTTCTATCAGATGAGGAGTTTGGGCTTGAAACTAGAGGTGGCAAACAAACGGATTGGCTTGGATCAGTTAGTTTTGGCTTCCAATCATTTGGATTATGATTTTTTTTTTATTCAAAATATTTCGGATTCAAATATATTTGAGTTTAAATAATTTTGGATTCTAACTATTTTAGATTTGAATAATTTTGAATATGGATTATTTCATGTTCGGATTATTTTGAATTCAATTTCAGTTGAATAGGTCTAGATGAAAATGAATAATTCTGAAATTTTACAAGTTATTAAATTTTTATAATTTTGAATATAAAAATTAATTTTATTATATAATTAAATAAAAATACAACAAAAATACACTAGTTAAAATTTTAAAAATAGATAATTGCTTGTATCTTTGATTTTCCTTTTAAATTTCCATTATCTATCTATTTTCCCTTTCCCTATGTGTTCTATATCAATATGGTATCACTGCTCTGAATAGTTTGGACATCTCCTTCCCATTCTCCGTCCCCTTGTCAATTGGCTGCAGCTGTTGGGGAATTCTGTAGTTTGCTTTAATCGTTTTGCATATATTAAGTTATATTGTTCCTTAAACAATTAGATTGTTACCATTTTATCCTTTTCCATTTGTTTTATTGGCATGGAGAAAATTTTTAAGATTTAAATCCGAAATTTAATACAATTAATTTATATAACTATCATTAAAAAAATGATATTTAATAGATTAAAATTTTAAATTTTAAACCGTGACATTTTTTGTTTAAAAAAATTTTTAAACAGATTTTTCATGTCTTGGATTGTTTAGAAAGGGTATGTTAAGTTGCACTTAACTCTATGTATTCTTATAGGAAGCACTGATAGATAGGGTGTAAACGAGTTGAGCCGAGTCGAATAGTGAGAAGCTCGAGTTTGAGCTCGACTCACAACTCGGGGCTCGATATTCAGCTCGAGCTCGATCGAATTTTATTTTTCAAGCTCGAGTTCGATTCGTGATCGAATTCAAGCTACTCAAATTCGCTCGATTAATATGTAAAAATAAACTCGATTCGTATATTCGACAAGAGTTCGATTATTCATGCTCGAATTCGAACTCGAACTCGAACTCGAAATATTTTATTAATTAAAATAATAAAAATATATTTAAATATAAAAACTCGATTAGACTCGCGAGTTACTCGAGTCAGATATAAGAATACTTGAATTCGAGCTACTCAAGCTCGACTCGACAATAATCGAACCGAATTTAAATTTTTTTCGAATCAAACTCGAGTAACTTACGAATACTAATGTATCATTTATACCCCTACTGATAGAGGTGACAATGACATGGATATTCGGAAAGAATTGTTTGGCGGTGTACCCAATCAAGCATTTACTCTAATGCCTTTGATCATATCTCTATCTCATGTCTCCTTTTGGTATTATTTTATTCCTAAATAAATAATACATTCGTGTATGGTTAAGTAATTCATGTTAATCATTTTATTGTTGGTATAACCAATTAAGCCTTTCAAGATTTACTTTTATTCATAATTAATGGAAAGAAATGTGAGGCAAAAAAATTTTGAGATTCATACTAAAAAATCCTTGAATTATTTCATTTTTTAAAAATAAACTCTATAATTTTATTATATTTAAATAAACCCTTATGCTTTGATTTATATCAAAATAAACTTTTATACTTTGATTTATATTCAAATAAATCCTTATTTTAAGTAAAAAATAATTTATGTTAAAGATTTATTTAGATAAAAATTAAAAATTAAAAATTTTATTTAAGTGTAAATTAATAAATCACAAGATTTCATTTCATTGCAAAGTAAAAAAAAATAAAAATCATTCCTCTCTGCTACTGCTCTACCCCACCTTGATTGAACTCTCAACAGGAGAGGGGAGAAAACAAAAAAAAAAAAAAAAATCCTACAATTTGACCTCTTCTTTTACTACTGTTCACTGTTCAGTAATTTAGGTAGCAAAGCGAGGCATGTGCCTGTTTCTACCAGCCCTTTGTCATATAAAATTGAAGGTATACATGGGACCTACCAATCAATTTCAAATCTGAGATCCAAAATCAAAAAGAAAACCAATTCATTCAACTGTCCTTTGCCCATCAAACCTAACACATGCTTCGGCTTCACCATTATACCCTAAGGGGACACATATTAGGAGCTTAGTTTCAATCCATAGTGGGTAGGGACACATACTAAAAGAAGTGGACACTTATAATCCTTATCTACTGCTCAATGATTCAACTACTAATCTAATCCAAATTCCAAACTCCAAAATCCGAACTAGTGGCTAAATGGAAATGTTGAGCTGGATTAGACTTTACCAACCGACAAAGGCAAGAGATCAATTGGTAATCATTAATAAAAGAAATGCTTAAATGCTACAAAACAAAACTCATCAGTCATGATATGTATTATTTTTTATACGAAAAAATTGAGACAAATAAATTGTTTAATTTTAAATTAAAATAAAATATATCATATTTAATGATTTTAAAAATAATTATAGAAGACATATTTAAGATGAATTCAACAAAAAATTATCAATTAAATTTGAATATATAATCTTTACATTAAAAAAATTAATTCTTAACAATTGAATTAATCTCTTATTATATCAATTATAACATGTAATTCACAACTTTGCTTATCTCATCTTATCCATTACAATTTATATTAGAATGAAAAGAGAAATCCAAATTTTCCAAGCTCATCACATACAAACAAGTAGTTTAATAGATTTTTCCCTCAAAACACATAAACGAAAAGAGAATAACAGCATACAATACTATATAACTTAGCCCAATTGTTTTTATTAAACAAATTATTAAACTATAAGCAAATTAATTAAGTATTCATGCAATCACCGTTAAAATATGCATCTAACCAAAATTTAAAATGTGATTTAAAATGCAATCGGATTTTTTATCACATTATATTTATTACGATTACAAATATAATATAAATAAAATAATGATAATCGCACTCAATATAATTATGAATTTTTGTAAAATTTTTACAATATACCACAAAGTAATTTGATATAATAATATTTATTTACAATATTTAAAATAATTTATGATATTTTAATTTTATATTTAAATGCTAAAATAATTATTTTACATATTTTAATTATAACTCAAAATGAACATGCTATAAAATTCATAAATATATTAAAAAAAAGCACAAATAATTATTTTAGTGTATATTATAATCACAATTTTTTATTATATCGTTATTTGTAAACATGATACATAGCAATTTTGTGAATGACGAATCATACCTCTATTGTGATGAGTAACAGTGACGAAGAGCGGTGCCACCGCTAAATAACAACCAGTATATCGCATCACGGACGTTATTTAAATCCATGCATCTAACATGTATTAAATTCATATTTTATCACTCACAATGTTCTTATCGTGGTCTCATTTATTAAAAAAAAAAATTAGCTAATCATTTTTTGCTAATCTAATTTTCAGGAATTCTCTATAACAAATTAAAAACTGATCATTCCCAAATTTAACAAGGGTACAAAGGTTCTGCATCAATAATTGAAGTTTAAAGACAAAAAAACAAATTAAAATGAAAAAGAGTTAAAAAAGAAAGAAAGAAAAGATTAAAAAAAAGGGAAAAATGCAAATGACTCTTTTAACTACTTTACATGATCCTTACTAAATTGACCCAAAGGAATAAAAATTAAAAAAAAAAAATCCAAAATCACTTGCTAATTGCAATTGGGACTAAACTATTGTTGGTATTAGTGGAAGAGGAAGGGGATGATCTAATTTTAATAAGATAAACGAAAGCAGAAGCAACTAACAATGCCAAACCTGTGACGCCACAAACCAAGCTCCCCAACAGCAACACGTGCCTCAAGTGATCACTCCCCCGTCGATTGCTGCCAGCACTCCACCACGATGTGTCGTTGGAATTCAAGGCCTTCGGCAACGCCATCGTAGATGGTGTCGATGAGGAAGACTTGGATGTTGCTCCGAAGAAGGACATCATCCCCGGTGACTTGAGCCCCATCGGCGGCAGGCTTTGGTACTCCAGACCATGATCAGAAGGGCGTAGCTCCCTGGCCGTTGATCCCCTGATGATGAGGATGACTATCAGCGGCAGATATGGCGACATCGCAGCAGCAATTCTTATTGTATGAAAAGAAGGCATAGCTGATTATAGTTTTTGTTTTGTTTTTAGTTAGTATGAGTGGATGAGTAGGGACCAAGGCATTGTAATTTGCATGTTTCGAGAGATAAAATACATAAATAATTAGCTTAAGGAAACCGAGCGACGTCGTTTGGGTGGTCAGAGTAACTTTATTCTTTATTCTTTTCTCACAGTGCTTTAGTTGTCTGGATGCGGAAAACGCGTTGTCGGGGGGCAGTCAAGTCACTCACTCACGGAAAAGTTTTCACTCTTCGCCGCTAGTTTCTTTGTCTTTAACTGCTAGACTGCTTCCATAATTATTTTTTTTAGGCTCAACTCAAGTATAAAAAATTCTCTAAATTAAAATGAAATAATAATTATTTAATTAAAAATTTAATTAAATAAAATAAATATTTAAAAATTAATTAATTAAAAATAAATATTTGAATGCTCAATTAATTACAATAAAATGATAAAAATTTAAATAGTTATTAGTCAAATTTATAATTGTATTATAAGTTAATAGTGAATTTTGCTTTTATATTCTAATTTCATTAAATTGTATCATTTTACTTTTTATTTTTTTTATTTTTAAATATAAAGTTCTCGAACCGACAAACGTGTAACATTTACGTTGACTTAATATTATGTGAAACATTTGAATTTTTTACTACTTATTTAAAAATTAACAAAATTAAAAGTATGGTGATAAAATCTAGTAGTATATATTAATTAGTAAAACATTTTGATTTTGTTATTTTTTTTACCAAAAATTTAATGAAATTGAAAATAAAGTGATAAATTTTTAATAAAATCAAAGTACAATGATAAATTTGAATATTAAATCATAATATAATGACAAATTTTATCCTAATCCAAGCTTGAAGTGAATGTTTATATTGTCTCAATTATGAGATTCTAGTTCCTTAATCTATTTTAAAGAATTTGGGGTATGAAATTTTATAAAAAATTGAATTTAGGATAATTAGTGTCAGTGTGAAAATATTATCCTTAATTCTGCATTTTCTAATACAAGGCATGGCAAGTGGATTTTTCATAATATGTTATTAATGAAAAACAAATGTTTAGTGCTTTCTTTTCATAAAAGAATGTTGTTGATGATTTATAAATAGAAATTCAAAGATTAATTATTTACTATATTTATTTTATTATGCACATATATTTACACTAAAATTTGACTATCTACTACGTGACGTTTTGAGAAAAAAAAGTAGTGTTTGAAAAAAGAAGTTAAATTTCCCAAAAAAAAAAAAGAGATAAGTTAAATTATTAGATGTGATTTTTATTTTGAGAAAATTGGTAGGGTCTTTTAAAAGAAAAATATGTTTTTATATATTAAAAAGTGAAATGATACACACATATAAATATCTTTAATTTTTTATTTATTATTATATTTTATTTTTATGTTAATTTAATAATTAAGTTGATATCATTTAACCATAACACTAGATTTAGTCGCAAACATTATATGAAGTATAATGTTCATGCTCTCTTATACTCTCTTCATGCAATTTCAATTTGTTGAATTAATCGTAACGCAAATGCCGATCATTTTCCTTCTCTTCTCTGGTTTTCTTTTACCGGAGATCTTTAATCCTTACGTGGCATTGTGGTTTATATACATATAGACAAACACCTCAAGAAGGATCTAACATGATATGAAATTAAAAAAGTTATATATATTTTAATAGATTTAATGATGAGAGAAACAAGTAAAAATTAATAAAAGTAATTTAATTTTATCTTTAAATTTATTAAATTTAATAATTAAAAATATATAAATTTTTTAAAAATTTTATATTATCTAAGTTGATCAAATATATATTTATATATTAAAATTTTATATTTCTATCAATTATCAATTATCATAATATTAAAATTAATATTTAAAAATTATGAATTTAAAAGAATTTGTACGTAATAATATCATATGCAGACAAATATAAGTATAAAAATTTAAAGATATCTTATATATTTAAAAGAAATCTTATAATTTTTGGATTTTAATGAATTTTGTCGCAAATTTTGTTAACCTGCCTTGGGGCGATGCCCGAGAAAGCTCTTTTGATGAGTCAAATAGTACATCAAATTAGGAAAAGGGTCGGACGTTGTATTATGTGGGGTCCGATACAGTAAAAAAAGAGTATCAAAAGAGAAAAAAAAAAACCTTCATGGGCCATGGACTCTGTCTGCGCTTCTAGTCTTAGGTTCCCTCAACTTTCTCTTTATTTGGAGAAACTGTGTGAAGCTGTGTTAAGGAACATGGCTTTTTCTTTTGTGAATATGTGCTAAGGGACACGGCTTTATCACGAATTCAACCCCCTTTTTTGTCAAAAAGATAGTTTGATAATTCGAGAATTGACAACCCAATCATCCTAATTTCTCGCTGTTTTCCTTTGAAATTTTGTAGGGCCTTCTTTTCTATGTTACTTTAATTGTCTGAACTCCTTAGCCTTAAAGCATCCATATCTGCTTTTGATAGGGGAGCTTTAATAAGTTGTAACCAATCTAATCTATCAAAATGGCCCAAAATATATTAATTCAATTCGATTTATTTCCTTTTCTTTTTAATTTATTAAAAAATAATTTATTCAACTAGTTTGATCAATTCTTAATTTTTAAAATTAATAATCTATTAATTTATTTTTAAATATATTTTACATAATTTACATAATATTTTAAAATCACGTATATGATATATCATTTGTTTTATATAATATATAATGTATATAATATAAATATAAAATAATTTTATATAAAATATAAATTATAAACAATCATATTGGAACAACTTAGTTAAGTCGATTTTGATTATTTTAATTATTTTAATTCAATTCGATTTAATCGACTATTTCAAGTGACAAGTTTTTAAATATTTAAAACCAAACCATTCGAATGCTCTCCTTAGACAATTCACATTGGCAAGCACAAAAGTAAGAGCTTAATTCTGGATTGAAGCTGTCTTTTACTTCTTGGCCCAGTGGTTAAGAGGCTTTAAGAAAGATGTGTGGGCATAGGTTCTAATTCCGCCATCCCTCTTCCCCTTTGTATGGGCGTTTACCTTCTTTTGAAAAAAAAAAATTTAGATTAAAGCTTCTTAGTGATTTCAGCATGCCAGCGTTTAAGCAATGGGTGAAGGAGATGACTCAGACTCAAAAATATATAGCTTGTTTGAATGGGAGAGTCTTCTCATTACCCTCAATGTCAAATTATCAATGGCTAATCTTCGACCATCAAGCAAGAGCTTACTGAGTTGATTATATTGATTGAAAACTATAGATTCAGTTGAGATGCACAATAGGAAATCAAAATGAAAAGAAATTAAGGAAAGAAGCTGAACAAACCAAAAAGAGAAATGTTTTTTTTTTTTTTTTTTTTTAAGAAAGATATGTTATTACTACAATAAGCTAGAAAATATGGATAACTAATATCTTTTTCAAATTCATAGCAAGAAAATTATGAATTATTTCATCACATATGTAGACATCTCATTTTGTTTGGACTCAAATTAGTAGGGCTTGGACTCGTTTTTTTGTATTTTTGTTGTATCTTTCTTATTTATCCTATTTATTTTTATCATTTTCTTTATCTATTTTATTTTCTTTTTTGGTTTATCTTTAGCTTTAATTTCATTTATTTGTTTTTGAATTATTTGATTAACTGTTAACAAAAAAAGGTGATAATTTTTAAAATAAAAAAAGAAAAATCAAAATTTAAAATTGGCTGGGATCTTGATAATTTCATGAATTAAAGATAAAATTTTAGAGATAATCAATAAATTTTACAAGTTAATTCGATCCTAGCTCTTATCTTTGAAGAATTATTGGCTCTATATAAAGTCAAAGCAACCAATGAATCAACACAAAACAATTATAAAGGAGACACAACAGTAAACAAAGAGCAAACAATTGAGCAAAATGGTGTTTTTTTTTGTTTTGCAATAAAGTTTTTAGGGAATTTGTTGGGAAATTTTGGGTAAATTGCAAGATTGATTCAATTGTGGGAGGATTTGAAGAACTTAAGAGACTTAAATTGGTATTTTTTGTGGTTTTCCTAAAATTTTTGGGTTTTTTTTGGGAAAATTTCCAAATTTCGTAAAAGATTTTGATGGGTTTTTTCAAATTTCGAAGGATTTTTCTAGATTCCAGAGACTTCTCAATAATTTTTTCAAAATTTGGCCGACATTCAACTAGTATTCATTTGGTTCTAGAGAGAGAATGAGAGAAAACGAAACGAGGAAAGAGAGGGAGAAGAAGAAATTTGAAGAAAAAAAGATTTTGGGTGCTTTTATACATTTGCAAAACGATGTCATTTTGCCTTTAAAAAATTTTAAGATCCGTGCATCGACTTGAGGAAGATCCCCGCGTCGACTTGAGGAAGAGTTGCGTGCCAAACCAACCTATAGCACCCCCGACTCACATTTTGGAGTTGGTTTCCTGTTGAGCTATTCAAGCTATCTAACCATTCAAGACGCTCCAGCCAATTCTTCTTTCTACAGTTGAGCCGCAGTCCAAGCCAAGCCTTGCTGACCTTTTTGTATTTTTCTTTTTAGTTTTTTATTATTTGCTTTTTATTTATTTTATTTTATTTTTATTATTTATTTTTGAAATATTCTTTCATGATTAAATTTCTAGGAAAATTATTAGAAGTTTTTCCAAATTATAATTATCTGAAGATGAAATTTTTAAAAATTACAAATGGTTAATTTTTAGAAAATTTCTAGGTGAATTTTTTTTTTCTAAATTTGACCTAAATGGAGAAAAAATTTATATAAAGTTTTAATAATAATTAATATTTATTTTCAAATTACAACAAAAATCTAAATAATTTTACTAAAATTTTGGATGCCGATCTAGTTTGGCGACCCCGTTAGGGATGTATAGAATGTCGGGCCATAAAATTTTAAATTTATCTTAACCTTTAGTTTAATGGTCTTAAAATGTAATGATTATGTAATTTATTTACAAACACTTTTTCTTTTGTTTTTGTCTTTTGTTTGATTTACAAAAAGTCGGTGTTGAAAACTTTATATGTTTCTTCACATACACATTTATTTGCATTACATGAGCTCATATTATG